ATATATATATATATATATATATATATATATAATATTCACACCGACAGATTCACACAAAAATATGGTAAATAAATGGAAAAACACATCAAAAATAAAAATAAAATAAACAAACACGTACCCCTTCTTCTCCCCCCCCTTTTCATTATTATTATTATTATTCTTATTATTCTTATGATTATTCTTATTTTTTTTTTCCTTTCTTTTACTTCACCTTCTTCGCCCCATTTGTTAACTTTGAGGCTTGTTTCCCAGCTTGGGAAAGATAACTGCGGTGGAACAGTTGAGAGAAGAGAATCAAGTAACTCACATACATCAACAAACCCAAACGAAGACTAGACCCATTCACATCACACTTCATTCCCAATATATTCTTCACAGTATATGTATAGGTAACAATTAAGGTCCCCACCACCATTTGTAAAATCTGTAAGGCTGTAATTAACGGGGCAATGGGGCGAATAACTTTACGGAATCCACAGGCACAGACAAAGTAATAGAAATACATAATAGAATGTACAAAGTAATTCATAGTGGCAAACCAAAGTCCACTAGATATTGTATATGCATATCCATGCCAACAGAAAAGCATCACAGTAGCATGATGATACCAATGCAGAAAGATCACCGGTTTCTTCTGCAAAACAAGAAATACAGTATCCATCATTTCTGGAATCTTGGAGAGTACAAAGGCCGCCACCCAAAATCCCACAGGTCCATCAAAGAACATTCCTCTATTCCAATAACAGGCGGAATTGTAAAGATTCCCCGCCATCACCGGCGGTGTAGTATTAGTATTATTATTATTAGTATTATTATTATTATTATTTCCCTCCACCAGTAATTTCCCAATCACTGGGGCGGTGGTCACTTCCAGTAATCGCGGCACACAGTAATACGCCCCACCCATTGAGAAGAGTGTTAAGAAGAGATTCCAGAGAATATTCCAAACGCGCAGGTTCATTGCCGGGCGATGGGCCATGAAAGAGTCCGGCACGTAAAGGACCAGCGCGAGGTAGAGGACTACCGCCAGAACAGGCACCTCCGTGTGTTCACGCATCCACTCCCGCAGGCCACTCCCCTGGAAGTTATCCGCAAAGTGATTAAATGCATACACCAGGGATTCTGTCATTTTTTTCTTTTTATTACTCTTTTTTTTTTTTTTTTTTTTTTTTTTTTTTTTTTTTTT